ATACTATTTATCGCATCAAACAGCTAGTTATATATAATTCAGGTATTAAATAGCTTTACTAAGAAGGTAGGAATAAAATCGATTGAAAAGCTAAACACTTTAAGACGCCGAGTAGGTAACAACGTTCTTACATCAAACCAGAGAATGAAAATGAAGATGAGATGAATAACGACGTAGAGAACTCCGAAAGAGATGAAGACATTCTGTTCCAGTCGTTTCATCACCTCTAGTCGCATTGCCTCTTCTGTTTGCTTGGCGTCTGGAAAGTGACTCAGCTCGACGCAGTCCTGCGCTTCCATATAGGCTCGTAAAAGCGCCAGGAAGTAGAGAGAAACCACCTCGTTGTTGAGGGTGTAACTGCCCAAAGATGCTCCACTTTTTCGAGGAGTTTCCGATTGGATGTAAGGCGGCGCGGGCATATCAAAGTAGGAGTCCTTGGAGAGACTTGGTTCTGATGGAATTAGAAAAAAATATGTCTTGGGTATATAGAAGGTCAGAATATTGATGACTGGGGTGTGGGATAGACTTACCTCCACGTGGTGCACACTGGGCAACGTATACTCATACGACGAAAAAGTCTATTAACTGGCAGTTGACTTCTGACTTCAAACTATCATCACTCCACTGTATGTCATATTCAACCCCTACCACAGTACTCCTCTTACCTTTTCTCTGCATTCGTGTCTATCTGTCTCTTTACATCTGTGAATCATTATTCTGTCCTCCTCTCGACTTTTTGTCACTTTGATGTTCCTCCTCCTCCCTGTGAAGCCCAAAGTCAGCTAAATGGCAAATGACAACTATCAAAACGCCTGCCATTTGAAACAAATAATATATAAATATTGATAACTAAACTTATTGTAGGTAAACGTTTTCCAAAGAATTTATCAGCCAACAGGAAACAGTTAATGCGTTTCCATCGCATAATTTTGATTTCTCAAATACAAATAAATTGCTGGAGATTTTATTGAAGGAAATATGACAATTTGAGATGCTTTAGATAGTCGAAGTCAACAAGAAATTACTGGAGAATTATTTATGAGGGATTCCAACTCGGTCTGTTAGATTTGGTTGACCAAAATATCGGTCTGTGGATCGATGAGTATTGATGTGTGGTCTTAGAAATGTACGTTCAATGCTACACCACCGACCGAAAGTATGTTATTAGGGAATAAGAGTCCCTTGGTGACAATGGTTTTATTGAAGGTCACTGGAATTTAGGCCAACGTTAATAATTATATAATCTTAAAGTTTTACACAAGACTTATGCCTTACAAAATGACCTCAAATTTAAAATAACCTTTTCTTCATCATTCTTTTGCGGAATGAATTAATGTTGAAAATCTCAAATAATGTTTGCAAAGATAAAAAATAATAATAACATTCAAGCGGAATTATAATTCATTTCTCGGAAAACAAAAGATGACATATTCTTCATATTCTATTCACTGTTAGAAGGACAGTAGAGAAGTAATTAGGCAATGTTTCAGGCACTGTGAACAATAAATTAATTAAATAAAACTAAGCAAAATTCATGACGGGGATAAATAATGATTAACAATTTCTTAACGTTTATTTTTCGCTAATATACCTATTCCTGAGTACCTTTAAATATTCAACAACACATTTCCGTTTTCTGAAATTCCGGTTTATTCCATTTCTAACTTTATTTTTTCCTAATAAAGCCACAAAATATTTATGAACATTGATGAAATGACATTTACATAAATAAATAAAAATTGTATATGTCACAATGTCAGAAGAATTTGAGTTTTTACAGTGAAATGCAAACATTTGCACAAAAAATGAAGATACAATCAGACGAAAAGAATGAATGAGCTATAAACGCGACAGCACTCGATTCCATTCTGTTAGATTTAAAATGATCCAGCAAAAAGTGAGAATTCGTAATATTATATGTCGCATTTATTTTCCTTTTAAAATATTAATGAATCCTTGAGCATGCTTGCAGCTATGGCATGAATTTGAAATCACTGACTGTTTTCAAGGCATTTAAAGGGATGTATTGAAACATTGTTCTTAAGTTGAGCATAAGAAAGGAATAACCTTTGCAATCACAGAGATTATGATTCACAAATACACGGACAACACGTTTCTTATAGTTTTTCTCTTGAAAGCATAGATGGTGAAACAGTCAGGCTGCACAGATTTTAGATGATCAATCGATCGACGAATCAGAGTGTATACCTGACAAAACTCACATTTAAACCCGCTGGCTCATAATGGCCAAGATAAACTCTTAATTGCAGAAGATAAGTTGTAACAGAGAGTGCTTGTAGATATTTTTCGGTAACATTAAGTAAAGACATAATAAGCGTTGATATTCTTTGTGATTTTGAAATAATTGGTCAGAATCGATCAACCTCCATCAATGTAAAAAAATATTCTCATTTGCTATTTGATACGATTTAAAAACTGCAGTTAATAAAATTTAATGCCATCCGAAACATAGTCACAATACTTTTGCTCCAAGAGTGAAATGACCGTTAGAGATAGTCAAAGTAACAGTCCACGTCTTACAATTAGAGAATGCATTACATTCGCCATTTGGGGAGTGCGATAGACTTACCTCCACGTGGTGCACCCTGGGCAACGTATACTCATACGGCAAAAAAGTCCATTAACCGGCAGTTGACTCTTACTTCAAACTACACTGACCCCACTCTTACCTTTTCACTCCCTATGTGTCTGTCTCCTTTACATCTTTGAAACACTCTCCGTCCCCACCCCCCTCGACTTTTTTCACTTTGATGTTCCTTCCTCTCTGGGATCCCTGATGTCAACTAAAGGGCTAATGATGACCATCAAAACGCCTCCCATTTGATGTAATAATCGCAATTTGTTAACCCCCCGGGCTCCATTTAGTACTCCCACAATATCCGACAAAATGCATTGACACGTATTTCATTCGCCTAGTGCTTTAATCGCTAGCAAAATTTACCTTTAACAAAGAAAGAACAGTCTCTAATCAAATCGAGTAAGCTAGTCTGCAAGATTCGTCGAATGCGAATATAATACTGAAATATTCGATGAATAAACGGAATGCCTTGGGTTTGCAGAGTGAAATATTGGCAATACTTTGAACATACCTACTTCCAAAGGCGAGAGGTTTTAAAACCTGTTTTCCCCCGGACAGAGTTTACAAGATAGCTAAACGAGCTATCTAGTAG